TATATAGGTGGAAGACAATAACTATTAGCGTTGCAACCAGAGTTGCTTAGTGCTGAGCAACTCTTTACAATGATTTACAAGCATTGAAAAGGGATCTGCAAAAAAAGTGTGGCATTCCTAGCCCAGGTATGACAAAAATAAATATACTAGAAGTAACTGTATAATTTTTACATTTATTACGTAGGATAACTACTTTTTAGGCTAGATTCTAAAGCTCAATATAACTATTTCAAAGGGTCTCCTTATCTTTAAAGAGCAGTGATTTCAAGGATATTGAACTATTATTATTTTAATTGTGTAATTAAATGAAATCAGTATCTCAGTATAGTGTTGCATGCAATAGCACTGATAAAAATTAATCATAAAATTTCACTATGTTCATTATTAGACTTACACCAAATAATATTAAAAAATCATTAAAATGGTGTCACTGAACTCCTATTAAGAATAACAAATAGAATTCAAGTGATGGTTTAGTATTGTGATGCTTCATGCAGCCTGTAGTAGCAATTTTGCATTGATAAAGTTACATTTTCGCTAACATGACCTCTTCTATTGGTCCTAGCATAGATACTACATACACACATGGATAAGAAACAGGAGGTGATATTGATGTGCCATGCTCTTGACGCCGGATATGACTCATAGAGCATAATAATGAATAATCTACACACGTGAATAAGCATGGCCATTAGCAATGAGGACTGATAGTGAGGAGTTTCATTTGATTTATAGCCAAGTTCTCAGTTGGATGAGCTCCAGATGAATACTTCTACCACCAAAGAGGTCAAATCACACATTTATTTTGTGATGAAGTCAAAAGGGGATGAAACAAAAACTCTAGAGACTATTGTTATTACATCAAACACAAGATATTATTTTATATGCCTATAATAATAATTTTAGTCATAATTTAAGTTCAACAGATGCTTTTTGCCATCTATATTTACAAAGTTTCATCAACACCTTCACTCTTTCAGAACACAATTCATCGTTATCATTCTCGGTTGTATAGTACTCTATAATCATGACAATAAAAAATAAATATTATTATAATAGTTAAATACTGACTTTCCCTGATGTCGCTAAACATAACAAAGCAGTAATAGTACTCTTGTCTGTCATCTTATAGTGCCTGTGTTGGTACTCTAGCGGTTAATAGTTTATTTACTAAAATAGAGGATTCCAAGGGATTTATACCTTGTCTACAACGGTAATATCAGAGGAGCTGCTGCCACATTCCAACTCAGTGTGTATAGGATCATGTCTCTTTTCAAATCCACCCTATTTTT